AGGGTTTAGTCAAAAATCCAGAACTTACAAATTGACTGTATATTGTCCTGTCAATATTCAGTAGAAGCCTGAACATTTTGTTCATAAGGTAAACCTGGTCAAATGTAATCATTGCTTTAAGGAATGTATACAGCTTTCTTTCCTGATTAAAAGAGCCAATACCGTCTTCGTTAGAAACATTTAAATATGCTTTAAACATTTTAGAAACATTTAAATATGCTTTAAACATTTTTCCTCCTATATCCACTGCCATTTGCATTACTGCTTAAATTGTCAGTCTTAAGTGTAGTAAATACTAAAAATAGTTGGTAATGGGGTAAAATTCAGGTACTTGGGGACACACCATATTACTGAATTAATACAGGCATAATTTTAATGTATTTGTTTTTGTTTGCTGATCTTGATTTAGCTAGGGTTATATTTGGGTAATAACCAGTTGGCAGCAAGACAGAACAATGGGTGGTATGAAATAGAGCACTAATGATGGAGAACATTTTCAAGGTCACCAGTTGCTATGTTGCACCACAAAAGCAGCATTTTAAAGTCATGGGTTGTTCATTTATCATGCAGGTTATATTTAAAACTCAGATTTCTGGGAGGGGGGAAGTTGTTTGGACAGGTAAAAAAAGGTAAGACTAATCGCATTTCAAGTCACAACTCTTCAGGAAGTGATCTATGACATTCCCAATTCTTGTGGTTTTACCATTATGATCCAAGAACATTCACACAGAAAAGCAGTCAGCTCCCTGAATTGTGATTTGGCAAATGCTTTTCCTATGACTCCTATTTTTCTAATAATAGACCACTCCCATGGGCTCTGGTTAGCCTAAGTTGCAAAAACACCAGGGAAGAACAGTAACTGAAATCCTTATTAAATTACAGCATCTCTTCATGCATAGCATGAGACATTTATAAGCCTAAAAGGATTTATAGGATGTAAGCCTTCTTAGCCAGCAGAAAAGGAAACAGGTGAAGAGACACCTAAGACCTACCAAGCCATGTGAACAGCACCCTAAATGCTAACTAGGGAGGGCAGTGAAACAAAGAACTCTGAATTGTAACCATTACACTCAAACACCATTAGAGTTGAGTTCCTACTGAATCGGGGAAGCCCCGGTTAAGCATATGAGTCAGAGTTGTGGCTCTGAACTGAAGGCATTTCTTAAAGAGTAAAATGCTAAAGAAAACCACATCATCAAAAAACACAGACTGAACTTGGATGAGATAGAATAGGAAAAAATGTTTCCATTTGGAATTAAGTTTTAAGGCTTCCTCAAATTGTTTAATCATTTTTTCTAGTGTCTTCACTATTGCTTATCAAGCATTCAGTGTAAGAACATCTAAGTAACTGCTTAAACAGCTACGTTCACCACTGTAGTTCTTACAGCGAATAGACAAGTTTTTCTCCCACAGGAAGCAGGTGTCAGTTAATTCCCCTCTCCACTACGCCAGGGATCTTTCTCAAAAGGTCAGGAGCAACCTACTCATACAGTAAAATACACTGACATATCCTTCCTAGAACAGCATTTCCTCTATATGCATGTGAAGAACTATTACACAATGAAGCCTAATATAGCTTTATCTGCAGATGCTGATTTTGTCAAACATGAAGCATAGATGAATCAAATCTTTGTGATGTAACTAAACAAATCTAAAACACCTAGAATTGAGAAATGCATGGCTCTTCCTGCAGTGAACTTCAACTATTTAAAAAGCATTTATAAAGGAGTCCTAAGTGACTTCAAACAGCACTGCCATTAAGTATATTTTTAGCTCCATTACACCATCAAGTTTCAAGCCATCAAGTTTCCAGAACGTTCCCACTGAAGCTATATCCTAATCACTATTCCCTTAAGACTGTTAGCATGGTTATCTTCAGGGAAAGCAGCAATGCCACTGTGATTATACGTTGTCTTACCTGATCGCTTGCCTCAACTACCCTGTATTTATTTTCTGGTACGCCCTCAATTACTTTCTTCTATTTCTCCACCTGTGTTTCTATTCCCAAGTTGTGTAAGAATATTAAATAATCAACTCATCACTACATAAAGCACCTGATCAGAACAAATGACCTACAGGATGCTTTCTGCTACCCCCAAGTAAACATGTACTGTTTGAAGCTCCAGTGCTAACAAGTACCCTCATCGCAGTCTACAACTTCCTCGTAAGGGGGTGTCGAGAGGCAGGAGACCTTTTCTCCATTAACACCAGCGACAGGACCCGCGGGAACGGGGTTAAGCTGAGGCAAGGGAAGTTTAGGCTTGACATCAGGAGGAAGTTCTTCACAGAGAGAGTGGTTGCACACTGGAACAGGCTCCCCAGGGAAGTGGTCACTGCACCGAGCCTGTCTGAATTTAAGAAGAGATTGGACTGTGCACTTAGTCACATGGTCTGAACTTTCGGGTAGACCTGTGCGGTGTCAAGAGTTGGACTTGATGATCCTTAAGGGTCCCTTCCAACTCAGGATATTCTATGATTCTATGAAGTAAAAGGAAATATATGCAGTTAATTTATTAACCTTTTTTTTTTTTTGAAAGACTTGGAATTCCACCTCAAAACTCAACTAACAGAAGCTTTTATAGACTCTCTCCGCATTCTCTCCACATCAGTCAAAATTCACAACAGGCAGGGTTTCATAATCACAGAAGTAATCCTAAAAAAGGCAGGACCAGCTGAGTGGATACAGGTAATTGAAGAATAACAAGTCTAGGACTTCATTTGGAATATCACTTTTAATATAAATATTTTGTATACAAAAATAACCAAAACACCCTATAGTTATCTCAAATCTTCAAGTTTTTTTCTACTCAATTTCCTGATAGTTTGGCAAGCGCCTGTTTTCTCTGCTCTGAAGTCATATACTCACAGGCTTCTAAAATATTTACTATAATTAAAGTCTGTTGAACTGTTTTTGCTTTTACCCATATTCTTCCATTCATTCCCAGCACCAGCTCAAATGGGTACAACTGTGACAACTCCTGAATTATTTCACATTTGGGAGCCAAGAGCCTGTAAATAAGATTAAAAAAAGATAAAGGAAAATGTGAACATTCACATTTGATAAACAATGCATTATTTCAGTCAGTAGCTAAGCTACAGCACTGATATTATGGGAGCTAGTGTAACTACCCCAAAAGATGATCCAGTTGCGTATCCATCCAAAACAGGCATACAATATCAGATTTTTCATTTTCCTCCGAAAATATATGCACTTAAAATACAGCACTTGTGAATTTATAGCTGGTTTTCTAACTAGATTCAGAAGAGTTACTTGACAAATTGAAAGCCAATTGTTTCTTTTATAATAATTCTATAATTCACTAAGTTCTAAAACTACTGCTTGACAAAGCAACATTTTGAAGTGCTGTAACTTACTAGTTTAACACCAAAGGTAAAGATGTGTTTATCTAAACAACAATTCCCTCCTCCTCTTTCAGGAGGCAATATTAACACAGAATTAGATTGAGACCATTTTAGTTTTATATCATAATACATCTCACAATCAAGTCAAGCTTCAATAAGCTTTTTCAAAGAGAAAACAAACATATCAAGAGTAAACAGTAATATACTGTTATTTCTTTACTTACATATATAGATGATGGGCCACAAACCAAATCATTTACAAAACCCAGACATGAAATAGCTGCTTCATGTTTTTAAGATAGCTTTTCCAAAGAACTGTCCCCCTACCACCTACCTTAATCACCAAAACAACAAAGCTTGACTATCATTTACCTGTATCAGCTGGTACTTTCAGATTGTCACAAAAATCTTGTATTTACTACAACATTAACCTAAGTAACTCCAAAATTTGGAATACACTTCAAAGACTGAAGTTAACATATCAGTTTTATAAAAAAGACTTTTCATTTTTCTGTATCCTTATTTCAAGGTAACATTTTTCTTTGGAAATTATAAAATAAAGTGTATTGATGAGAGAAGATCCCCTTACTTAGTGAGGGATGTAAATTTAGCTGACAGCTATCTCATTAATCAGAAAAAAGAATTTTTAATTTAAGCTTCAAGACAGTACATACTGAAACCACACCTTGAATGTTTGATTCCCTCAGGTATGGTTGTATTTTCTATACTGCCTTGGCAGCTGAATCCTTTTTTTTTTTTTAAAAAAAAAAAAAAAACAGGTTACAACACAATATGGATTTCTTCATCTGGATTTCTTCAGGGGGAAAAAACGTGCTATTTCTGACTCAAAATACATGCATCTTCCATCCAGTAAAACTAGTATAAATGTACTAGAACAATTACGACTCATATCCTGATTATTGGTTAGTCCATACTTCTCAGGGACTCGTACTTCTCATACTTGTGCATGTTCTACCTAAAACTACAACCTTACATGTTAAGAATTACTAGCTTTCTTGGTACTTACTTTCTTATAAGACCTAAGGAAACTTTAAAGAGGAATCCATCTTGTCCAATTACTCCCATGCCACTTGCTTTTCCGCTGCTGTCTATACAGACCATCTCTGGTTCCATGTCTTTATTTGCTACAAGGAATTTACCATAAATAAGGTCTCCCACCTAAACCAAACAGGGTCAGAAAGCAAAAAGTATTAGACATGATCATACTGTACATTCATAAAAAATATTAAATTTATAAAGCTCGTCCAGGGTAACACAAAATAGTTGGTGGGAGAAAAATGAATGAGTAGTTTTTGTTCTCTCCTACTAAAGACAACTTACCACATAAGAATAATATTGTATCACTACTAGAATCTAAAAGATATTTAAAAAACACATTTTATTTTATGGACGTATTCTTCTTTTTCTGTTTTGAAATACCTTCTCCAGACTTTAAGGAAGGTAAAAAGCAAGTCTAAGCAGCCTACTCTTGTAACTGCTTATCAGGACCACAAGAAAGCCACACCAGCTTATTTTGTTGTCCTTTAGAGTCCATTTTACGTTCTGGCGATGGTATTTCAGCTGAATGCAGAAGCAGTGACACGCACGTGCCGCGTTTCCAGCGGTGTTACGAAACAAACCCGGTTTTCTCCCAGCGTTAAGAGCTCGTTTCACAACCTCAGAGTGCCCCCTGCGGGCGAGCATTACCGCCTGACCAGCACCCACGGCTGGCAGCATCATGGACGAGGAAACACGGCGCCGGTTTTGCCTTGCGGCCCGGCTGAGCCGAGCACCCCCGGGTGAGGAGAATCCCGCTACCTGCACGTTGGGCCGGTTCCTTTTGGTCGCTCCCTCGAAGGCCAGGTAGGACAGCGAGGCCTGCTCGCTCCCGCCGACGTCCAGCCTGAAGACGTCCCCCGCCCTGGCGGTGACGATGCCGATCACCTGGTCGCCCTTCACCGGCACGTACTGCGGGCAGCCACACGCGGCTCAGCCGGGGCCCCTCGGGAGGGGCCGGCCGAGCCCTCCCCGCCGCCCCCCGTGCCCTACCCGCTTCTGCTGCGAGTCCACCCAGTAGGCGCCTCCCGCCGCCGCCCCGCCGCCGCCGCCGCCCGGCTGGCGGTGCCGCAGCAGCCCGCACTTGGTCACCAGTAGCCCGGCCGCGCAGCGCCGCAGGCCGGGCCCGCACAGCAGCCGGCCCCGCGGGGCCGCCTCGGGGCCCAGCGGCAGCCGCTCGGCGTCGTGCTCGGGGCGGGCGGGCAGCAGCAGCACGTCGCCCGGCAGCACCACCTGCCCCACCGCGGCCTCCGCCGCCATCTTGCTGCTGCCCGCCGCCATCTTGCCCCCCTCCGCCATGGCCGCCGGGCCCCGCCTCCAGTCGCCGGCCACGTGGGGGGCGCCGTTGCTTAGCGACGCGGCAGCGCGCGCGGCGCCCGGGCCGTTACGACTGTTAGGGTCTGAGGGGGGCGGGCGGGGGCAGCCAGCGCCGGTGCGCAGCGCCAGGTGCCTGGTGCCGCAGGGGCAGTCCCGGGATGGAACTCGGGGAGGGGGGGGGAGGGCCCCGGGCTGCGCTTACATGGAGCCGGGGGCAGCGGCTGTGGGTGGGGGCCGCAGGTGAGGGCGCTCAGGGCAGCTGAGGTGCACCTGGGGGCCTGTCTGGGCGCCCACCCTGACAGCCCGCCGCTGGTGGTGACTGCCCAGCCGCCGCCTCCCGGCCGACCGGTACCGCCTTATTTCCGAGCAGTTTCTTAATGCTACGTGCCCAAACAATGAGCGGGGACACGCACAACTAAGCACATTTCTCTAAAGTGCTTAGTGTAATTGATCTATCATTCGAACGGTTAACAACTAAAGCAGTGTTAAATCTGAATAGCTTTCCTCTATTAACTGCCCGATTAAATTAGCTATAATAAAATACGAAGAGTAATGCCGTATCCACTGTTTGGGACCTGAGTAAATACTTCTTAAAAATCCTAATTTAATTCTGGCATTGATGACTAATGTATGTCTGTTTGTTGTTAGTAGATCTGAATGGAGTCTCAATATCTGAAGAGATGCCTGGGAAGTTGCCTGACAAAGGGACTGGCAGAGGTTGTAGAGCATCGCCCAGCAGACCCGATAGAGTACCTGGCACATTGGATTTATAATTACAAGAGAATCTTAGATGAAGAAAAAAAGGTGGATATATAGTGGATAAAAAGTAAATGAAATGAAGAATATCAGATTGTGTCTGGAGATAACTCACAGAAAATTTAAGAAATTTTGTAATATAAGTTATGGGAAAGATGTTGAACAAATATTTCATGGCAGTGTAATTGATGGCTATTTAATCTCTATGTTTTTTTAACTGATTCCGTGTTACCTTTGAAATAGAGAATGCAGGAGAGGATTGAGCTGGAAAAAGAACGGGAGGCAGCCCAGGAAGAACTTGAAATGTTAAGAAAAATGAAGGAGGAAGAGCTAATGATTCAGCAGAAACTCGAAGAACAACGTCAGGTTAATAATATTAATAATAGATAATTATAAAAGCATATGATGGTGTAGAAACTTGTCGTATTCAGTATGCCTTTATTCTCTGTATACGGATTTTGAGAAAAAGGTAACGTAAAACAAGTATTTAAACCTCACTTTTCTAAGTAATAAATGAAACAACCTGTCAGCAAGTGGGAAGAAAAACTTACCTACCATGTGGTAAGATGTTACCAAAAAAATGAAGGAACGTAAAGAGGAAATGCCTTAAAACTTACATGACAAGTGACTTAAAATAAGTAGACTGTCTTATGTAGTTCGTTACAAACAAGAGGTGGTGTAAATAAAGCTAGAATTAAGTACAAAAACTTTTGACAAGCTTGCAAGGAGGCCTAGGAGTAATAAGCACTCAAAGATATTTCAATGTAAGGCAAAAAAAGGTAATGAGAATGTATACACAATTATTGATTCCTGAAAATAGTTGGGAATCAATTAATTAATATTGGATATTTAAGCAGCAGAGGGCCCTGATTCTGTCCTTAGCTATTTGAGCATTCTGCTGACATAGTAGTTTAAATGCTATACTATGTGATACTATGTGGACATGAAATATGAGAACTAAAGATGACATCTGTGTTTGAAGTTGTCCTTCGTGGATGAGGGTTGTGAATATGACCATCCGTGTCAGCATGCATGCAAGAGCCTCAGTTGTGCATGCTGCTGTAATTAATGTAGATAGTATTTACTGGATTTTTTTTTAATTGTTTCACTTTCACATGATCAAATCAAAAGTGTGATTTAAAATGTAAGCTGATCATATTAAGCACAGTTCTGGTGTAAGATGAGTTCAATCTATTTCACTTGCACTTTTTTAAAATATGGAATTTACAATTTTAGATACCAAAAGTGTTGTGCTAAGTGAGTAAAGTTAAATAGTATAAACGAAGAATGCTCATACCAGCCACGTACTCAGGCTTGTTTTGATTGTATACACCAAAAAGGCATGTGGAAACCAGTTGCTGCGACATGACAATGTTTGTACTAACTGTTCACAAAATGCTACAGCAAGCAGTATTCTCTAGACCCTAGTGTTTGTTGAATATGAATGCTCAGATTATGTGGTTTCTGAAGTCCTGATGTAATAGGGCTTGCAGAGTGAACACTTTATGTTAGATATTTCCAACTGAAAAATGTAAAGGTTGATGAAGATGGTTAATCTAATAGCTTATCATTTTTATTCATAAATTTGAGTCTATATGATTCATCTGTGAGATTAAGTCAGATGATATTGAGAGGACTTTATATTATTAACATAAAAGTGTGTTTCATGCTTTTTTTTTTTTAATATTTCAACCATGAAATACATTGGAAGCAATGGGGTGGGGAAAATGGACATGCACTTTTTTCCTTCTAATTTGTCCCTTCATTAAATGACCACAGAGGCAGCTGGAAGAAGAACGGGCGAAGCTAGAGCTGCAGAATGAAGAAGACAAGATGCAGTTGCAGCAGAAGGATCAAGAGGTCTAAAACAAAGCTTAATCAAGGGTTTAAAAATGTTGTTAATCAGATGTCTTTTCTAGATGCAGTCACTAAAGACAAAACACAAGGCAGAAACCCAGTGTTGTTATATTAAAACAAATTTAAAAGAAAAAAAGTGAAAACTGGGAAAGAATGTCCAACCCCTTGTTTCCAGTCTGTGTTTTATACTTGAATTTTCGTTTGTTGTGTTAGGTTTCTTTAGTTTATGTTCAGAACAGAGCATAAATTTATTGCAAAATCTGGCTTAATTTGTATGAGAAAATGTTATAACATAAACACGTCTAACTTAAAGATTTATACAAGTATGTTTTACTGTGTGGCAATGCCAAGTCATTTGCTGTACCTGGAAAAGGGACTATGGCTGGAATTGAGATGTCTTTTAATTCTAATATCCTTGTGGTTCCCAGGAATTTATGCTAACAGGAGTGTGTATATGGTGGTCCACGTAAATATATTGTCATATAATGCTATTTCAGTAAAAAATCTAGACTGATAATTGCCATAGCTAACTCAGTAAAGCTTTCAAATCTGAAACACTTCTTAAATTTATATGGACCACAATATTTTAGAGATATGCATGTTTTTAGAGCACTGTTGAAATACTGATGGTGTGCAATTGTAGAAAAATGACTGTGAACGTGACAGGAAAAAATGAATATGGAGAAATTTAAACCAACAATTCCTGTTATTTACAAATGATAAAAATAGTATAGACAAGTATGGAATGACCCCATTGACTAACACATTTGTGTAGCATGCATCCAAAATATTCTTTTTATATTAATACATAAAGTCATTTTAGCATATCTGAAGTATTCACTGTAGATAATTACTCATGACATGGAATACTTTTAACTGAAAACACATTTTCATTACCACAGGAAACTGAAAAGACAATTGCTGAACTTACAGATAGAATGGGAGCACCTAATTTAACCACAGTTGAGGAGCTAGACGAGGGTGGACAGTTTGAGGTAAGTGTTTAGAAAGAATCAGGAGACTATAAATGATTATGTTTAAGGATTTGCTTATCTGTGTTGACTTACCAAAAGCTAAGACTGTTGTAGTTAAAGCTGTGCTGTTTCTCTCCTATGATCTTAAGGGATGGTATTTTGGCCATAGTATTTAAACTGTCCTTAGCCTGTTGTCTGGTTCATGTTAAGGCATTCTAAAAGTCACTCTGCGTTGGCTGACGAAATCCTCAAGATTTAAGATGCATGCCCTTTTGGATTCAGATGTGCTACAAATGAAAGTATGAATATTCTCAGAGTGGAGGCAGCCTTCTTTGGCCATGTGAACAGATAGTTGTACAGGATATGCACTAAATCACGAAACATGACTCACTTTTGAGTGAAGTTATTTGTATTTTTCTGAGTGGTTCTGATTGTTGGTGCAGCAGAATGCAGTCTTGTGCAGAGATATCTGAGCAACTGTTTAAAGTAAAAGACCAGGTATTAAAAGTGCACAGTGCTTATTGTGGCGAAGACCCACTGAGATTCTGGTTGTCCGAGCCCCATGCCGGCATGACTACTGCTTTCAGTACTACAGCTGTGACTGAAGTGTGATATACACGCAACTTGCACACCTGTATTTTTGTTTTCTGTTTGTACTTACCCAGAGAACTGAGAGGACATCAGTCAACCTTCAGTATTGTAAGTCATGGCAGTACATATAACAGTTGATGCCAACTCATGTGAAATCTTCCACTTTATGTGCATTCACTGTAGAGAAAAATATTATGTCTGTCTTTTTTAGTTAGACTATTCCAAGTGGTGTTGAGATTTTGGTAGGTTTCCTTTTTTCTTTTTTAGCCTTACTGATTTGCTCACTTGGTTTCTGACATCAGTAGTATAATTTGAGCTCAGAACTTAAAATTGTGGTATTAATATGCTTTATGCTTAGGGTTACTTTAGTGAAAAACAGTATTATAAGTGTTTTCCAAATATAATTGTGAATATATCTATGACTATACTTAAGGCCAGGTTTTCGCGGCTTCCTTGATATTGCTAAGAGGTAAATCTGATGAGTTCTCAAGGTCTTGTCTAGTCCTAATTTTTATAATTTTCTGACAATGGAATATTAAAAACTATTCATGAGGCTCCAGGCATATTTTATGTGTCCTTAAATAAGTGAATTGCAAAACCAGAAGTGCAAATGAGTACTAAACTGACTTGCTTCTTCTTGTATGTATCATTTTCAAAGTTTTCATGCCTAACATGGTTTAAAGTTGGATTATGTAGTCCTTTGATGATGTTATTTCAGCTTTTCCAGTGATACATTTGTTGTATTAAAATACAAATCAAGAACAGATATATAAAATGAAAAAATATACACCTGTACTGCTGAAACTGTTCTGTTCTCAGAATCATAATACTTCAACCAGACTTACTGGATCTTATAATAAAAGTCAGGTGATTGTTTAATCATTTTTTGTTGTTGTTGTTTTGTTTTTTTTTTTTGACAAAATCCAGTTAATGTTGGCAACCAATAGACTGATAGAACTTTTTGTGTTCTTTTTAGACTGCAACAGATGTCATGGCAGAACCAGAAGAAGAAAATTCCCAACCAATCTGAAAGCAGTAAATATATTTTCTATTCATTGCTTGCTGATCAACTTCCTATTAATTGAAGCGCAATGCCTTAATTTATGTATTTTATATATAGAACTGATTTGCATACCTGTTATTTGAGTTTCCTTGCTTTCTGGGTATATGAAGTCTGTTGGTTCTGGCATGCCATGCTACCCTTTTGCTCTTAAACTGCAGTAGCTGTCATAGATGACTTGAAGGAATAAAACTGGAGTTGTGATGAAAGCAGTAAATGTATTTTTTACTTACTGCCCACTGATTCTTGGAGAGTAACAACCTAAAATGGATTTTATAGATATAATTCATGTGTCAAGGGTGTTTTGGAGTAAGGGCAACGATATGCTAATTTGAATCAATAATAAAAAAAGCAAAAGATCAAAGAAAGTTTACAAGAATTTGAAAGGTTTCTGATATTAAGAAAGAATGATATATATATATAGATAGATAGATATAGATATATATATAGATATATCTATATCTATATCTATATATATATATGTCAGGAGATGGAGAGAGAGTTCTATACATCAGACTAAATGCAAAAATTTAGTCAGAAGATTTATGCCATCTAGAAGTAACCTTCTCACTCAGTAGACAGGTGTACTAAAAATCCATCTGTGTCTAACATAGAAATCATGAGGTACTTTTTGTAACTGTAGGTGTTTGCTCTGGAGTTCAGATAAACCTTTCTGGTTATTGTGTGATATTAGGTGAGCTACAAGTGTCTACATGTCCGTTTGGTTAATTGGATATTAAAATAATCTTCTGCATTTGTCTTGAATTTGCAAGTTAATAAACTATGTCTGTGTTGATTATCTTTGCTAAATACCGTTATTGGTTTTCAAAGCTCCACATCTAAAAATTTGGAAGGATATTTAATATTTTCCATATCTATTTAAAAATCAGTTTTATATCCCTTAAAGATTGAATTAATTCTTATCACAATTTTCTGTAATCACCAATACCTTGGTACAGGTCACAATGAGTGTTTCATTTCTATTTATTATAAATGGAAAACATACCAGCCTTGAGAAATCCTCTGCTTCTTGGTTAAAAAGTATCTTCATATCTCAGTGTCTTCTAATAACATGGGTTACTGGACAATTAACATTAGGGTATTGCCAATATTGTATGATGGGATACTCTTTGTTACAAATTCAGTGCATAGTTAATGTATTTGCCATTCCAAGTGTGGGATGAAAGAATTGTTTGGGAAGTTTCACTTTAATTCATTTATATTATAGCTAGCTTTAAGATTTTTCTCTTTGGAAAATGTTAAAAATAGGTATACGCAATAGGCAAAGGTCAGTCATGGAATAAATAAGGTCAATCGTGTAATAAGTATTTTTCTGCTCTAAGTAACTGTTCTGTTCATGTAGCTCATACTAGGCAGAATCCTATCAATTTTTAAAAAGGTGTGCACTGTTATTTTTAATATAGTAATATATAGTTTTTTCCTTACGTATAATAAAGTTGTTGGCCATTATTAAAAAAATGCTATCACCCTCTTTGTTGTCACATTGATTTGTATTGATTGCAGATGCTGCTAACTGTTTATCTGCCTTTTACGACATATATTTTCCCAAGAGGGAAAAATGGCATTTCCCAGGTGTAAATATTTACAAATGTTGATTTAATTTTACAAACCTAACAAAAATTAAACAAATTTAACCAAAAATCTTGTTATTTAGATATGTTGATTATGAAAATTTCAGCCTTCACATTTAGGTAGGACATATGCTTAAGATATAAGACAGGATTTTTAAACATGCTAGTAAATAATTCTAATTACTAATTCCAACAAGTGACTTTCATTGTCTAGTTTTTCATAACACTTGTATCTTCCTTTGAGTTGGTTATATGTGTGTCCACTAGAGTGCATCCTTAAAAAAAAAAATAGAGGCGGCTGTGCCTGTTACGATCCATGATTATTTGTCATTTTGTTTCATCTTGTTTTAGTTGTGACTTTTTCTTTGTGATCTTTCCGTTGCTATTTCTCATTTTCTTTCTAGATAGCATTTGAATTTTCGAATGGAAACTTTTATCAGAAAATTCTGTTAGCAAGGGTCAAAATAAAAAGGCAGATTACAGTTTACTTATTCCTTTGTAGTTATATTAATCTGATCATGTACATAAAGTACATAAGAAGAAATAAGGTGTTCAAATACCATTCAAGATAATTCCCATTGTTCAGAATCTGATGTGCACAGACCTAGTGCACTGATTGCCTCCTGCAGCTTCATAGGAATTCTTATCTTAGATATGGGATCAGAGGGTAAAGTATTGTTGGTTCAATACTGTCTTAAGATGCAAAACAGTTGTAGGTAACTTGGAAATGTTACTATAGTATACAACAGGGATGACTTCTGCTTAGTTGTCTAAGCTGGGAGGGAAATGAAGACAGCTTAAAATCATTGACTTCTCTTTCTGAACTTCAGTCTTTGGAGCATAGCTAGATTAGAGCTTGGAACAGGAGACAAGGAGGAAGATATTGTTCCATTGTTACCGCAGATGATGTGATTCCAGAAGTGGTAGTACTACTTAACTTTTGCATAAAATCTAAGGTTGTATAATGAAAAACAAAACAAATAAACAAACATAAACCCCTGCAATTACATAAGTTAAGCTACAGCTTTCTTTTCCATCAGAGGCAGATAATAGAAAATGTTGGTGAAAATAACTATTGACAGAAGATTACACAATTATAGTTTTTCATTTCTGCAGACCAGGAGCAGACTTTTTTGGGCCATTAAAAGACCCTTAGTACAGATCCTCCAGAGAATGTGCTGATAGTGATGTTCCCAATCACAGCTGTTCTCATTCCAGCAATACTCAAGCATAAGGATGCAAACAGATATGAAGCCCAAAATAGGACAAAATGAATCAGTTCAACTGCCAGTCAGTTTATAAAGATGGAAATTCAGCTCTGCAATGCAAGAAACTTCTCCTGGAAGGAAAAATATATTTTGCAGCAGGCACATTTTTATGTTATCATTTAACAGAGTAGGCTTTATTAAGTAAACAGTCCTCTTTCTTTTGATAGGTGGTTTTCCTTCATAGTCTAAAGAAACTGATCCTTTTGTAAGCAAGTGCTTTTCACAGCAACTTGCTAATGGCAGTGAGAGTTGGATGAATTAGTCAGGATTAAATGCAAAATTGATTTACTCTGAACTTTGCTAATACAGTTTACTTACATTTGAAGTCAGCTATTATTTGTTTTACCTCTGTGAAGTTTTCCTGTTCTTAGGTTAGATAAAGAACAGTGTTGTCTATTGACTACAGCTAGAAGAGAGAGGCTAATCCTGATTTTATTGATATGGACTGATGCAAATTTTAAAATATCTTACCAGTTGTTTTATTATTTTAATTTAATTTATTTTGTTTTGTTTTGTTTTATTTATTTTTTAGGTTTGTTTGGTTTCTGGCATTACCGTTATCACTCATGCAGTCTTTGTGCTGTGTACTTCTGTATTTGTTTCAATTCAGATGATGGAAGAAACTATACTATTATAAACTTTTACATAGATATTGTTGGGCTAGTACTAGTAGAAGAAAGGCAGGATAGAGAAGATACCATTTGAGATGTCATAGTGTAGCGAACTTTTTTAAGAAGCAGAGGGCTCTGATCCAAGGAATTTGAGAGCTTTCAGTTGAATATCCAGCTTAAATACTGTGGATCTTCTCTGTTATCTTGTGTATTCATCATTATCATAAACCAAAATCAGTGTTTATTGTAGATCTGACTTGCTGAGGTTTACACCAATTTTTCTTTGAAATTATTCTAGAAGATGCTACGTCATGAACGATTATATCCATTAGGGCCCTTTATGGAGATGCTCAGTGCTTCCATTGTATGCTCAGTTATATGGCACCTAAAGTCAATGGCTATTTTGAAAAAAAAAATTGTGACAACTAGTTTCTTAGAGTAGTCCTTTGACTGTCTGAACATGAGTTCATGAGGTTGAGGTTAACAAACAAACAAACCAACAAAACCAAAAACAACAACAAAAACTGACTATATTAAGCCATTTGCCATTTTATTATTAATACCAACTGTGGTTGTATTATTAACCAAAAGTAGAGCAACAGACAAACAGTCAAGTAATTTAACAAGTAGAGAAGGCTCAGCATTGGTTTCTTGCTAGTTAATCTTATTCAAGCTGTTATTTATTAAAAAGGCTGTTTTGATGTTTCAGTAGTGACACAGAAACATATACTACACTAAAAATCAAAAGTATTCTTCCTCATCAGTTTCGCATCTGGCATATTCTAAAATTTCAAACATACTTTAAACAACTATGTGAAGTTCAGGCTTGATTTAGAATAAACATTAAATAATTAGACATACCATATGAAAGTTATCTGAATTACCTTACTCTCTCTAAAGAATATTTAGAAGGCTTAGGAGTCCTTTAACAAACTCTCAGAAGGAGATTTTGCCACTTTCTGCATGTAGTCATTCCTGGATATAATAATTGGAGATGCTATTATTAAGGATTTTTTTTTCCCCATAATCTTGGGAAAGTGGGTGTGAAAAACATACTATTTTAGTTTGATGTAAACCCCATGGGTGTTAGAGTTCAGTAAATGTTTCTTTGGACAAAATAAATGATTTTACTCAGTGGCTTGTCTATAATGTAGATGTGATCTTGCAGATTCGAGGTAAGAACATTAGCTTTTTCTGGGGGAGGAGGAAGTATGTCTGAACTTTATCAAGTACTTTGGTTAGTCTACTTCTTTTTAATGAGCAGAATCAAATTTCCAGCTCTGTAATAAATAGAGCTTATTTCTTTGTTGTTGTTGATTGAAACAAATAAAGCAAAAAAAAATAAATATATATATATATTGTTGTTGCACTGAGGAAGGAGTCTTTTAATGATCTCAATTTTGTTCTCACTGAATTTGCTGAAAAAGCTCTGGTTGAAATCATTAGTAAGAGGGTTGTGCTCTCTACTACTGTAAGCATGAATTCTACCCCTGAGAACTCATCT